CACAACAACCTGGACAGATCTCAAGGGCATAAGTGAGTTTTAAAAATCCGATCTCGAAAGGATATATACTATACAAGTCCACTTACATAACATACTTGACAACTGTCGTGATGGAGAGCAGGTCAGGGGTTAGGGTTTGGGGGAAGTGTGACTGTAAGTGACAGTGAGAGGGAGTTTGACTGTGGTGATGGTTACACGGATCTATACATGATGAAGTTACATAGAATTACACACACACACACACGAGACTGCACATAAAAACTGGTGACATCTCAGCAAGGTTTGCATTGCGGCTAATGATACCGATCATTTCACCGTGATTCTGTAAGATGTTGTTGTGGGGGGAGCTGGGCGAAGGATCCGCGGGAACTTGGAACTATTTTTTGCAACCTCTGTGTGAGTCTAAAATTATTTCAAAATTTAAAAAAATACAACTGTACTTTAAATGCTGCTGATGAATCAAAGAAGATGAAGACCGCTGGATTTCACAACCTGAAAGTCGTGGGTCCCGGACAGGAACTGTTTCCACGGAGACAGCGATCAGAGCGCAGAGTGCGACAATCCAGACGGGGCTGGAGTTGGGGGAGGTCACGGGGGAGGTGGCGGCTGAGGCAGACACAGCGCAGGCTCTCTGACGCGGGCCAGGTAAGGGAGCGGAGAAGGCTCACTGTACTTGGGAAGGAGGAAGACCAGCTTTTTCTTGAAAGACCCCAAGGAGGCTACTTTCTTCCAGAGCGGATTTAAGATCCACAGAAAAGACACTAAAGCCCTAAATGAGCCAGAAGGTCAGGGGAAGGAACCCGGGCAGAGCCCCCCAGGTGGATGACCGAGCGCCCTTCTCCAAAGCGCACCGCCAAGCGCTCGCTGCCCAGGGCTGCCCGGGCAGAGCCCCCAGGTGGATGACCGAGCGCCCTTCTCCAAAGCGCACCACCAAGCGCTCGCTGCCCAGGGCTGCCCGGGCAGAACCCCCAGGTGGATGACCGAGCGCCCTTCTCCAAAGCGCACCGCCAAGCGCTCGCTGCCGGGGCTGCCTGGGCAGAGCCCCCAGGTGGATGACCGAGCGCCCTTCTCCAAAGCGCACCGCCAAGCGCTCGCTGCCGGGGCTGCCCGGGCAGAGCCCCCCAGGTGGATGACAGAGCGCCCTTCTCCAAAGCGCACCGCCAAGCGCTCGCTGCCGGGGCTGCCGGGCGCTCTGCGTAAGAACAAGGACAGGCTACGAACAGCTGGCACACAGGGAACGAGCCTCTTCTCAGCTGTCTGTGAACCGGAAAGTAATTGTACATAAGAGCTAATAAGCCTTTCCACACACATCCACATGTGTTCATAGTTTATCACGGTGCAGTTTATTTTCCTTTACTGATTTGAGAGAGAGAGGGGAAAGGAGAGACAGAGAGAAACGATGAGAGAGAACATTGATTGGCCGCCTCCTGCACGCCCCCCACTGGGGATCTGGCCCACAACCTGGGCATGTGCCCTGACCAGGAATCGAACTGGCGACCTCTTGGTGCAGGGTCAACGTTCAACCACTGAGCCACACTGGCCGAGCTATCACAGTGCAGTTTAAATCACTGTAAATTATACAATGCCTCATCCTGGCTGGTGTGGCTCCATGGTTAGAGCTTTGGCCCGGGTCAAGGGTTCAATTCCTGGTCAAGGGCACATAGCACATACCTGGGTTGCAGATTCAATCCCTACCCTGGTCAGGGCACGTGCAGGAGGCAACCAATCGATGTGTCTCCCTCACATCAATGTTTCTCTCTCTCTCTCCCTCTCTCCCTTCCACTCTTTCTAAAAATCAATGGAAAAAAAAAAATAAAACAGTGTCTCTTTAGGAGTTTTGTATGTCGGTCAACAACAACTGGCTATACTATATTATTTTAGGCTAAAGGTTTTTACTAAAAGGCTGTACAATAGAATAATCAAAACCTAAAAAAAGCAACTACTCATAGTCAATGTAAAATAACCTATTAAACACAGGAAATAAGTTTCCTATTTCCAAACTATATATTTTAAATTCTAGAAAAAGTATGTTTTTCATTGCAATACAGAGATCTGGGACTTAACTCGCTTGCTACGATCATTACTCGGGAAGCCTGCACACAAGCTCAAGCTGCATCCTTCTCTGGAGATGTAGCATGTACAGAAATGTACAGGGACTGTGGGAGGAAAAGGTAAACCTACACAAAGCCAGAGGAGGAGGGAGAGTATTTAGCGTGAAATAAAAAGATATTTAAAACCCATAAAGAAACATTAAGCCAAAAAACAAAAATCTAGCCCTGGCCAGTTTGGCTCAGCAATTGGAGTGTCGGCCCACAAACCAGAGTCATGGGTTCCATGCTGGTCAAGGGCATGTACCTGGGTTGTGGTTCGTCCCCAGCCCTGATCGGGGTCGTGTGGGTGGCAACCAGTTGATGTCTCTCTCTCACGGCGATGTTTCTCTCCCTCTCTCCATCCCTCCCACTCTATCTGAAGATAGATGAAAAAAAATTCTCCAGTGACAATTAAAAAACAAACAAACTACAGTCTTTCGAATGTTGCGTCTTCCAAATGATTAGCTGATGAAAAAATAGTACAGAATGCATTTTTTAAAAAAAATAATATCTCCCTGGCCGGTTTGGCTCAGCAGTTAGAGCGTCGGCCTGCGGTCCAGAGAGACCCAGGTTTGGTTCCCACTAAGGACATGTACCTCGGTTGCAGTTTGTCCCCGGCCCTGGTTGGTCGTGCGGGTGGCAGCCACTCGATGGGTCCCTTTCACATCGATGTTTCTCTCTCTCTTCCACTCTATCTGAACAAAAAATGGAAAAATGTCCTCGGGTGAGGATAAAAAAATAAATAAATAAATAAATAAATTTTAAAAATGGACCTCTGCCTGGCCAGTGTGGCTCTGTGGATTGAGCGTTGTCCCAAGGACCAAGAGGTCCCAGTTTGATCCTGGTCGGGGCACATGCCCAGGTTTCTGGCTCAATCCCCAGTAGGGGACGTGCAAGAGGCAGGTGATGGATGTTTCTCCCTCACATCAATGTTTCTATCTCTCCCTTCCTCTAAAAAAAATCAATAAAAACATATTTTAAAAAATAATAAATTAAGTCACTGTTTTAAATGTTCTATCATCCAATTCTTTTTATTCACCATCAAATTACAAAGTATGCGTATGAAGTTATGTCAGACATACATCACTTTACAGGAAACTGTCTTCCAGATCCGATGTCACACACACACGATGTACACACACACACACACACACACACACACACACACGCCCTAGGGACTCACCAGAACCCTGCCCCACTGCCCACAGCCATCAGCACTTAAGTCCAAGAAACGGGCCGAATACTACTACTTCTTCTGATAGAAATAAATTTCCACCAAAAACCTTTCTAGATCATTTCTCTCCAACAAAATCGTGGGAATAAGAACTCAAGGATTCACACCATGTCTTCTTTCTACTATTTTCTAAAAATTTAACTGTATTATTCATAAGCTATTTGATATTTATAGTAACTCAAAACTATTTGTTCTAAAAATAAGTAAAGAACAAGGCAAAAAGCAGAGTTTGCAGTGTGCTCATCGTGACATAACACTGCCAAGCAGCGCGGCGTGAGTGGCCCAGCCGGGCGGAGAGCCGGTCCATGCGCCAGAGGGCTCCTCCTGGTCAGGGGCATGCTCAGGCTGTGGGTTCGGTCCCCAGCTGGGATGTGTACAGGAGGCAACTGTTCAAACTCTCCCCCTCCTTCCTCTCTCTAAAATCAATAAAAACACATCCTCGGGTGTGGATTAAAAAAAACAACAACTGCCCAACTAAAGGAAACAACATCAAAATGTCAACAGCAGTTTTCTTCAGGTAGTAGAACTAAGGGTGATCTCTTTTCTTTTTCCTTTACAACAGATTTCCTTAAGATCATTAATAAATACGTGTTTTGGTTTTTTTTATCCTCACCCGAGGACATTTTTCCATTTTTTGTTCAGATAGAGCGGGAGGGAGAGAGAGGAAGAGAGAGAGAGAGAGAACCATCGACGTGAAAGGGACACATCGAGTGGCTGCCACCCGCACGACCAACCAGGGCCGGGGACAAACTGCAACTGAGGCACGTGCCGTTAGCGGGAACCGAACCCGGGTCTCTCTGTACCGCAGGCCGACGCTCCAACCGCTGAGCCAAACTGGCCAGGGCAATACGTGTTATTTTTATAATTCAATATTTTTAAGAAAAAGATGACATGTACCAAGTCAAATAACTAAAAGTAGCTTCCTACTCTCAATCATTTCCTCAAATACAGGGGCCATTTTCTTAAAAACTCTATTGGGCCCGGCTGGTGTGGCTCAGTGGTTGAATGTCGTCCACGCACCAAAAGGTCACCAGTTCGATTCCCAGTCGGGGCACATGCCCAGGTTGTGGGCCAGATTCCCAGTGAGGGGTATGCAGGAGGCGGCCAATGGATGCTTCTCTCACCTCGATGTTTGTCTCTCCCCCGCTCTAAAATCAATAAAAACATATTTCTTTATAACACCACCACCGTGGCACAGTTCTGATGTGTTGTGAAGATTTTATTTTGCACATGTACTTGTAGCCTTTCTGCTGAGCTGTTTCCTCAACTTTAACAAATAAATCTATCTCCTTTACTATTACCTCAATTTCCATTTAATAAAATGATAAAACAATCACAATCTTAGCTTTATATAGTATTCATCAATGTAAAATAGCTCACTGGGCTTCAGCAAGTGTCTTCTCTTGTGCAGGGAAAGGACTTGGTCCAAACGACTGAGTGCACCCTTCCATTCTACAAGGACCACTCCGTGGTTCTCCACGGTGACCCCAGTGGTGCTGGGCAGCATCCCCTTCTCACCGGACAAACTGCCCCGATGAAGACCGTGGGCAGACTTCTCAAGCACCATCCAGCACATCAACCCTGGTGAGACCACGCTGGGGACCTGCCCCCACCCAGCTCCATCGGCCTCCAGCACACCAGACCCGCACTACCTACCTACTTATTCAGTTACTTACAGAGAGCATGGGTAAGCCAAGCCCCACTACGACGAGCGTAGTGGATGTGATGGTACTGTCATGGTACGGATACTGGATGCTGTTGTCTTTACAGAAAAAGCCTCTCTGAAATGGGTACATTTGGCCCAAATTTAGAACAGTCATAGGCATGGAAGCTGTTGGGGAAGAAAGACACACATGGTTACAGTCAGTTCACTCCATTGGGAGCCAGTCTACCGAACGGGCACAAATCTTAACATGTTCCCCGTTCTGAAAGGCATCGGTACTCCCGAACATGCGTCTACCGAACGGGCACAAATCTTAACGTGTTCCCCGTTCTGAAAGGCATGGGTACTCCCCAACCGCCAGCGTGAAGACCGAGGTGCCCAGTGCACGGGCTGGCCCGCATCAGCCCACCATTATCAAGCCCAAGTCCTCTGCTCACACTGACCTCTGAGCTTAGAGACCGTCAATAAAGAAACTGGGAGGAGAACAAAACTGGCCCATGGAAAAATAAAGTTGAGAAAACAGCAAGGTTTTGCATTTTACATTTTGCAACTAATTCGTTTTTAATTGAATTGCTTAATATCTTAATATGTATTAAAAAAAGAAAAAAGGAAAAACTCAGTAAATACATTTAATAATTATAACATCATAACAGCCGAATGTAGTTAAGGAGGGTGAGACAGAAAAGCCTGTTGCCCGTTGAAATTTCAAACAGGATTAGGAAACAATAGAAACTGTAAGTAGATCTTATAATCAAACAGGCCCTCTCTGCCCCACAGACAAACTGAAAGGTCTCACTGGGCCCTGGTGCCCCTCCGATCACTTGGACAAGTTCTGCCGGGATAGTTTTCATCTGGAACTTTTCACCCAAATAAAATGAAGGACCAAAGAGCAACTGTGTTCAACTAGCAGCTTCTTCATGTGTTCAGAGGTGCCAGGCTTCATCTTAAATGTAAACATGCAAACGTCTCCCCGCTACGTACTCAGTACTAGGCCCGGGCATGCCTAAGAAAGGCAGATTTGTGGGAAACAGACACAAAGTTCAAGGATCTAAAGTGTACATGTAGATACCAAGATATATGTTTGGGTGGAGGAAGCTGATGAAATTGTTCTGTATCTTGAATATGGCAGTAATTTCACAACTCCAAGCATTTGTCAAAACTCAAAGAACTCCACAACAAAACTGAATTTTACGGTATGTGAAGTTTAAAAGAAATACCATGAAAGACAAAACAGGACTAATTTCTAACATGGTATAAAAGGTCCTATAGAAATTGAGAGGTCAACTTGAACTAGTTGTTAGAAAAAAGAAAAGGCAACTGGGCTGAACTTAAACTTGAAGGCAGGCCCTAGCCAGTCTGGCTCAGCGGTTAGAGCATAGGCCCTGGGACCAAGGAGTCACGGATTCTGGTCAAGGGCACGTCCCTCGGTTGCGGTTCCTCCCCGGCCCTAGTCAGGTCATGTGACATGGAGGCAACCAGTCGATGTGTCTCTATCACATGGATCTTTCTCTGTCTCTGTCTCTCCCCCCCTCCCTCCCACTCTATATGATGATAAATAGAAAAATATCCTCAGGTGAGGAATAAAAAGGAAAAATAAAAGCAAATCCTAGGCAGCGGAGATGTGCGGGGGGCCAGAGCGCATGGCCAGGCGGAGCGCCGAGCCAGTCCTCGGGGTGCACGGCCAGCGTGGAGAACCAAGCCAGTCCTTGGGGTGCACGGCCAGCGTGGAGAACCAAGCAGTCCCCGGGGTGCACGGCCAGCATGCACTGCGTGCTCACATGCAGACCCGGGCGACGCGCATGGCCCACTCCTCGCCTAACCCCACGAGGGAAGTAGGTACGAGCACCCCCCCTTTCCACATCAAGTGCTCACGAGGCTTAGAGAGCCGCAGGCCTCGCTGACTACAGGCGACCAGGGCTCAGCAGGCTGCCTCTGGAGTCGGAGTGCACATGGCCCCCCGGAGCAGCGGGACGGGGACAGGGACATGGGGTCGTGGGCAGGGGGACTGTCCCTCTGGAGTCGGAGTGCACATGGCCCCCCGGAGCAGCGGGACGGGGACAGGGACATGGGGTCGTGGGCAGGGGGACTGTCCCTCTGGAGTCGGAGTGCACATGGCCCCCCGGAGCAGCGGGACGGGGACAGGGACATGGGGTCGTGGGCAGGGGGACTGTCCCTCTGGAGTCGGAGTGCACAGGGCCCCCCGGAGCAGTGGGACGGGGACAGGGACATGGGGTCGTGGGCAGGGGGACTGTCCTCTGGAGTCGGAGTGCACATGGCCCCCCGGAGCAGCGGGACTGGGACAGGGACATGGGGTCGTGGGCAGGGGGACTGTCCCTCTGGAGTCGGAGTGCACATGGCCCCCCGGAGCAGCGGGACGGGGACAGGGACATGGGGTCGTGGGCAGGGGGACTGTCCCTCTGGAGTCGGAGTGCACATGGCCCCCCGGAGCAGCGGGACGGGGACAGGGACATGGGGTCGTGGGCAGGGGGACTGTCCCTCTGGAGTCGGAGTGCACATGGCCCCCCGGAGCAGTGGGACGGGGACAGGGACATGGGGTCGTGGGCAGGGGGACTGTCCCTCTGGAGTCGGAGTGCACATGGCCCCCCGGAGCAGCGGGACTGGGACAGGGACATGGGGTCGTGGGCAGGGGGACTGTCCCTCTGGAGTCGGAGTGCACATGGCCCCCCGGAGCAGCGGGACGGGGACAGGGACATGGGGTCGTGGGCAGGGGGACTGTCCTTCTGGAGTCGGAGTGCACATGGCCCCCCAGAGCAGCGGGACGGGGACAGGGACATGGGGTCGTGGGCAGGGGGACTGTCCCTCTGGAGTCGGAGTGCACATGGCCCCCCGGAGCAGCGGGACTGGGACAGGGACATGGGGTCATGGCAGGGGGACTGTCCCTCTGGAGTTGGAGTGCACATGGCCCCCCAGAGCAGCGGGACGGGGACAAGGACATGGGGTCGTGGGCAGGGGGACTGTCCCTCTGGAGTCGGAGTGCACATGGCCCCCCCGGAGCAGCGGGACTGGGACAAGGACATGGGGTCGTGGGCAGGGGGACTGTCCCTCTGGAGTCGGAGTGCACATGGCCCCCCGGAGCAGCGGGACTGGGACAGGGACATGGGGTCGTGGGCAGGGGGACTGTCCCTCTGGAGTCGGAGTGCACATGGCCCCCCGGAGCAGCGGGACTGGGACAAGGACATGGGGTCGTGGGCAGGGGGACTGTCCCTCTGGAGTTGGAGTGCACATGGCCCCCCAGAGCAGCGGGACGGGGACAAGGACATGGGGTCGTGGGCAGGGGGACTGTCCCTCTGGAGTCGGAGTGCACATGGCCCCCCCGGAGCAGCGGGACTGGGACAAGGACATGGGGTCGTGGGCAGGGGGACTGTCCTCTGGAGTCGGAGTGCACATGGCCCCCCGGAGCAGCGGGACGGGGACAAGGACATGGGGTCGTGGGCAGGGGGACTGTCCCTCTGGAGTCGGAGTGCACATGGCCCCCCAGAGCAGCGGGACGGGGACAAGGACATGGGGTCGTGGGCAGGGGGACTGTCCCTCTGGAGTCGGAGTGCACATGGCCCCCCAGAGCAGCGGGACGGGGACAGGGACATGGGGTCGTGGGCAGGGGGACTGTCCCTCTGGAGTCGGAGTGCACATGGCCCCCCGGAGCAGCGGGACTGGGACAGGGACATGGGGTCGTGGGCAGGGGGACTGTCCCTCTGGAGTCGGAGTGCACATGGCCCCCCGGAGCAGCGGGACTGGGACAAGGACATGGGGTCGTGGGCAGGGGGACTGTCCCTCTGGAGTCGGAGTGCACATGGCCCCCCGGAGCAGTGGGACTGGGACAGGGACATGGGGTCGTGGGCAGGGGGACTGTCCCTCTGGAGTCGGAGTGCACATGGCCCCCCGGAGCAGCGGGACGGGGACACGGACATGGGGTCGTGGGCAGGGGGACTGTCCCTCTGGAGTCGGAGTGCACATGGCCCCCCGGAGCAGCGGGACGGGGACAGGGACATGGGGTCGTGGGCAGGGGGACTGTCCCTCTGGAGTCGGAGTGCACATGGCCCCCCCGGAGCAGTGGGACGGGGACAAGGACATGGGGTCGTGGGCAGGGGGACTGTCCCTCTGGAGTCGGAGTGCACATGGCCCCCCGGAGCAGCGGGACTGGGACAGGGACATGGGGTCGTGGGCAGGGGGACTGTCCCTCTGGAGTCGGAGTGCACATGGCCCCCCGGAGCAGCGGGACGGGGACAGGGACATGGGGTCGTGGGCAGGGGGACTGTCCCTCTGGAGTCGGAGTGCACATGGCCCCCCGGAGCAGCGGGACGGGGACAGGGACATGGGGTCGTGGGCAGGGGGACTGTCCCTCTGGAGTCGGAGTGCACATGGCCCCCCGGAGCAGCGGGACGGGGACAGGGACATGGGGTCGTGGGCAGGGGGACTGTCCCTCTGGAGTCGGAGTGCACATGGCCCCCCGGAGCAGCGGGACTGGGACAGGGACATGGGGTCGTGGGCAGGGGGACTGTCCCTCTGGAGTCGGAGTGCACATGGCCCCCCGGAGCAGCGGGACTGGGACAGGGACATGGGGTCGTGGGCAGGGGGACTGTCCCTCTGGAGTCGGAGTGCACATGGCCCCCCGGAGCAGCGGGACTGGGACAGGGACATGGGGTCGTGGGCAGGGGGACTGTCCCTCTGGAGTCGGAGTGCACATGGCCCCCCGGAGCAGCGGGACGGGGACAAGGACATGGGGTCGTGGGCAGGGGGACTGTCCCTCTGGAGTCGGAGTGCACATGGCCCCCCAGAGCAGCGGGACGGGGACAGGGACATGGGGTCGTGGGCAGGGGGACTGTCCCTCTGGAGTCGGAGTGCACATGGCCCCCCGGAGCAGCGGGACGGGGACAGGGACATGGGGTCGTGGGCAGGGGGACTGTCCCTCTGGAGTCGGAGTGCACATGGCCCCCCGGAGCAGCGGGACTGGGACAGGGACATGGGGTCGTGGGCAGGGGGACTGTCCCTCTGGAGTCGGAGTGCACATGGCCCCCCGGAGCAGCGGGACTGGGACAGGGACATGGGGTCGTGGGCAGGGGGACTGTCCCTCTGGAGTCGGAGTGCACATGGCCCCCCGGAGCAGCGGGACGGGGACAAGGACATGGGGTCGTGGGCAGGGGGACTGT